TTTTAAAAACCAGTAGGGTATTGTTTTAACTCCAGGTCAAATTGTAAAATACAGCAATTTTTTTTTTCTCCATTTAATTATATAATGTAGATCATTTCTATAGCGTCCACTCCCGTGTGAATGCAGCTTAAGGCGTCTTACATTTATTGAGTGTCTTCGTACACGGTAACCGGCAAAAGGGCACGTAGTCTCAGTGTACACGGTAACCGGGCAGTTCAGAACTCCAAGTTCAGTTTTTGTCATCCGGTGTTGCCTTCAACCCCAGCCATCTCCCAACTGTACCTTTTAAAAAAATCAATAATCCTCCCATTCCGGAGCCCTATACTTCGCAGCGCACAGACTTTGAATGAACTTTGGTGAATCCAACCGGTACTCACAATGTGATGCGAAAGCACAGGTTCACTGACCGGTCACGATCGCGAGCCCGACAAGACGCTTGTACATGTTATTTTTATTTTTAAAAATATTCTGGCCTAAATATTCGGTTATAGCTTTCAGAATACGCCCAGTAGACTAGAGCTGGTCCGAAACCATGATTTACGTAGGCCTATGGGCTCCGTACTCGCACCATTTCGAATTAAAAATTCCATTAAAATTAAAGCGTTGATGTTATTTTGCCCAAAATTGCAAGAAATTGCAAAAATTGCGGCTTTATTGCGGAACTCAACGAAAAGCGCGGCCGCAAGACTGCGATTTCCTGGGGCCAGGCTAAGCTCCTTTGCCAGGAGAGTAATCTCATGTCTCAGTGTCAGTAGACTCACTGTCTAGATCTGGCCCGCTCATGACATATTTGGACCTTGGGTCTTGGATAGTGCCATTTTCCCCACTTATCTCATTCCGCTTATTCCATATCTTCCCCTTAATTTCAAATAACTTGCAAATCTAGGTCAATTACTAAAATTTGCTGCCTTTTTAAAGTTATTTTTATGATTATGTTTTGTGAGGGCACGTGTTCGTCTGCAAAACTAGATATGTGGGTATCGGTTACTTACAAATAGCAGTAAAGTAATACTAGCAAATTTGGTGCCGTTATGTGCATTTTTAAATTCCAGAGAATACGAATCCACGCTGTGCTTGTGGCTAAATCTTTATACAGAAGAAACAGAGCCATATGATTAGAGATGTAACATCTTATGTCTTATAGGCAACCAGAAACAGCAAATTTAGCCAACCAAACTGAACTTCCTTGGCATCTGTTCATGGCTCAAACTCAAAGTTAACATTTTTATTCATTTCCTCCTCATCTTCTCTCTCTCCCCTTTTTTCATTTTTTCCACAATAGAAAGGATTTAAAAATCTGAAATCGGAGAAAATAATATAAAAATAAAATACAGTATAACATAACATGGATACGTCGAACACAAAAGACTCGAAATCATGCATCTGTCGTACTGTGCCCGCAGTCCCGCTTTTTTCTTCTTCTTTATAATAATAATAA